CATGCTTTTTCCAGCGTGAAGTCCTATCGCGTGAGACCGGAAGGGCCGCTGCATGTATGGACACGGCGTTTTTAAGTTGATAATTGTCGGCGGGAGACGGGGTGCCCATGGCGGTGCCTCTGACTCAGCATACCACCCACCCGGCTGAAGGCTGGTGCACGATATCTTAATTACCTATCTTGTAAGGTTATTTGGATTTACATAATAGGAAACAGTCAGCGCCACGCATGAAGCATTTATGCAATAATGCATTTAATCTAATGCATACCTCTGTGCAAGCTTCTCTGGATGGCGGATGCATATAGATATTTGTTACATAGCTACTTCATATGCAAAATAAGGGCGTGCCAACAGTGGGCGTAACTACTTACAGCAGCGCTTTCAGATGAAAACAACCATGAACAAAAAAAAAAATGAACAAACGACCAAAATAAATTGCTGACCTATATGGAGAGGTGCAGGAAGCGCAAGAGAAATTGCCTAAGCAGTTGTTTGGGTCTGAATCGTTTTGAGTTGTCGCCCCGTCCTACATACATACCAATCAGCCTGTAGCCATTGCTAAGCGAACCGTGCCTCATGACGGCACGCAACATTTGGATTCATGCTGCGAGAATGACGTCAAATGAACATAGTTAATTGGCCACGCGATCCGACTTAGACTGACAGATTGGACGGTGAAAGCTAGTAATATACCAGCCAAACTGGTTCCTTGGGATCAGTTCGAGGCTCGAGCCTGTTTTCGAACTTTCGGGCTCTTAGGTATATTGCAAAGCGGTTGCAGTTTTTTCTTTTTAATGAAGTTGCAAAGACTCACTCGTACATTCGTGCTGAGTTAACTGGTGAGAGCACTGAAGCGTTTTACTGTCGTGGCTGTTGTGTCTCCTATGTCGCGCCATATCATTTCCATCCAGAGTATATAATTCCCACCAGCACGACCCGTCCTCGTGTCGGCCGTTTATCTCACTCAAACCCACCTAAACCTCCCGACATTACGGCGCTGGCTGCAGCAGCAGTCTCTCACGGCCCCCCGAGACGCGTCCAAGGCCGGCCCGTGCGCCGTGACTCACCCGCGCGGGTCACGGCGCCGAGCTGCACGCGTCACGCATCCGTCACGAGCCGCGCCCGGCCGCGTCACGGCCGCGCCACGCCGGAACAGCTCGCCCCGGGCGCCGGAAACGCCAACAGTCACAAACGCGTATCAGGGGACATCAGCAGCCTTTGGGACATTGTATGTCTTGTAATATAGAAGTGTTTACATGAATTGTTCGTGGGCAATAAAATAAAGGGAAAAGTGAGTGTTTTTATTGTAAATTCGGTTGTTCAATACCTTCAAACGTAATTTAGACTGAAGCAGGGCCTATTTTAACATGTTAACTGGGGGGGCAAATGCCCCCGCACTCAACGGAATTGCCCCCCCAGTCGTCGAGATTTGCCCACTATAAAAATGGGCATAAAGGAACAGGGTGACAAACATACTACTGTGATTGTTTTGCAATGGATGTCAAATGAGTCAGTCTGCAAGTAATAACCAGTGGTGGATCCAAGGGTGGGTCATTTGGGTCATGACCCCCGCCCCTTGGGGCTCGGGGACACCACAGGCCTGCCAGGGGCACCAACGGCCTGTCGGGGGCACCACAGGCCTGTTGGGAGCACCATCGACCTAGCAAGAGCACCATAGGTCTGCCAGGGGCACCACAGACCTGACAGGGGTCCCACCGACCTCGCAGGGGCACCTTGGGCCTGTCAGGGGCACCACGGGCCTGTCGGGGCACCACAAGTTTGTCAGGGGCACCACAGACGTGTCAGGAGCACCATCGGCCTAGCAAGAGCACCATAGGTCTGCCAGGGGCACCACAGACCTGCCAGGGGCCCCACCGGCCTCGCAGGGGCACCACCTTGGGCCTGTCAGGGGTACCACCACAGGCCCGCCAGGGGCACCACAGGCCTGCCAGAGGCACCACAGGCCTAGCAAGGGTACCACGGACCTGTCAGCGACACCACGGGCCTGTCGGGGGCACCTCAGGCTTGTCAGGGCCAAGGGACACCACAGTCCTTTCAGGGGCACCACAGGCCTGTCAGGGGCACCACAGGCCTGTCAGGGGCACCACAGGCCTGTCAGGGGCACCAGAGGCCTAGCAGGGACACCACATGCCTGGCAGGGGCACCACCGGCCTCGCAGGGACACCTTGGGCCTGTTAGTGGCACTACGCGCCTGTCGGGGACACTCCAGGCTTGTCAGGAGCACCACAGTCCTGTCAGGGCCCAGGGGCACCAGCGGCCTAGCAGAGGCACCACCGGCCTAGCATGGACACCACCGGCCTTGCAAGGGCATCATGGGCCTGTCAGGGGCACCACGGGCCTGTCATTGGAACTTCAGGCTTGTCAGGGGCACCACAGTTCTTTCAGATGCACCGGCGGCCTAGCACCATGGCACCATGTTTGGCCGGGATCGCGATTCGGCGTATGTCGCCTCGCATTAGCCGCGCGTTTGGCAGTCTTTTCGTGGTTTCAAACGTTCAAAACATGGGATATGATGTTGCTCCCATGCATTATGGCGGGTGTCAAGGTTACCGGAAGGTCAGGTCAGGTCATTTGCCTTTGATGACCTCGGTTCACATTCCGAGTTTTATATGTTTCTACTTAGGCTAGTTTTTGGAGCTGAATTCAAATTTAGCAACCATTTGACCGTTTACACAGGGTGTCTCAAAAGTTCGTTGACAGGTACCAGCCAGGCTTTTTTTGTCAATAATTCGGAATCAACAAGAAATTAATAGTCAAAATTTTGCATGGGCATTGGTGAGAGCCTTCCTCAAGCAGTTTCATTGTTTTCAAGCGCATTCGACCCTTCATGAGCTCACAAATAGGGTTCACCTTTGACCATGGATCAGACATGAAAGTGGAGGTCGCAAAATCGGGTCGGCTGAGAAGCAGACAGCAGACTCGTGCTCCGAAGAGCACCTGAATATGCAGTCCTAACTATTGAAAACTGACTAGAAGCTAACAGACAAAGGTTACCCAGTTTCAAAAATTGCAGGTCATCATAAAATAAAGACAAAGACAAGTGACCCTCCAAAAGTGTCAATTAATGTTAAGTTTTATCTTACGAAGTTTCAAGAGGCAGATCTGAAGCTAATAGCTTTCTTTTACACACAAAATCCGGACAAAACCGCACGATGGACATGTTTTGGTCGTTCACAAAGCAGAACCTCTCCTGAGGAAAACACTCCGGAACCTAGCGAAGGTCTTGGCATGGGAAATGACGAGCGTTTGGGATTTGCAAAATTTGCACAATGTGTCTAAGAAACAGATGACCGACACATTTTGCTACGATATGCTGCGAAAAAATTGCCGCTGGCACCTCCCATTTGTTCAAGAATGGGGTTGTTTTGAAAAGGAAAATGGTACTTGGGAGGTCGGCGCCAGTCATTCATGAAGGAGTTGGTGCCAGAGAAGACCTACGAAATACTCACGGATGGTGTCGATGCAAGCTGTCGGCTTTAAGGGAGAAGCGGATGTTGCCAGGAAGCTCGTCAAACTTAACTCCGACGCAGAAACTGCAGGGGATTCCCCTGCAAGAGCTTGAAAGTTGAAAGCTGGTAACCTTTTATCAGCCTCTGGCAGCTGACGGAGCGACGAAAATCGGTATGGGCAAATATTTTTGGAGATACAGCAAAGGGTTTGGTTTCTAACCTTCCGAATCAGTTGTCAAAGCATGCATATTTGTCTAGTGTACACACAGACACCAAAACCTTAGATTTTTGGCCGGTTCTTATATGCTTTATTGGCATGGGAAATGTGTCAAGGAACTTTTGAGACACCCTGTAGTTTTGGTGCCTTCGTAACATGTTACGGAGCTGTCAGAGGCGGTTGTCACCAGCTACGAATACCCGGCAAAACCCTTACTGGTTGACCTGACCTGACCTGACCTGACCTGACCTGGCCTAAATGCATGAAGACATCATCTATGATCATAACTAAGATGATATTCGTGATCAGCACCCCGAAAAAAACCATAGCAGCCACCCTTTACTATGCTCTAACTCCCGATTTTCCCGACTTTTGGGTCATTGACCTGACCTGGAAGGTCAACCGATGACCTAGGACCTTTAAATTGGGTATCATCGGCTTCCTTTCATCACGGGCAACACGGTCGTTTTTTCCGCGAAGCTCTAACTCGATCAGGGGCGAAACAGCAAGGGGGAGGGTCCAACGGACCCCCCCCCCATATATACGTTCGCAGCTGGAAAACACCAATACGGGCGAGGGTTAATGGAATTATTAAAGACAATTTTCCAGGTTGCCCCCCAGTCAAATTCCCTTAAAATAGGCTCTGGACTGAAGGAAGACAGCCGGTGCCGGGACACATTGAACCAACTTTGAACCAAGTCATCGACATCATAGAGACGACAGACGTGCAAGCTGAAACGTGAGCTCACGGCAGGTCTGACTGGCATTTGTCACGTTTACTCATGAGTTCAAAGACATGTGATTGATCATTTCCTTTCAGAGATACGACTCGGTCCATGAATGGCGATAACAAAGTTAATGCCAATTTCCTTCATTCATGCCATAAAAAGTCTACCCAGAACCTTGATGGAATGACAATATGCGACGCAGACTGTTAGAAGTAAGGTAAATATTGACCAACCGTAATGACTTAGCAGATAGAAAGCTCTTTATGGATCAGCTACGGCCCACGCTACAATTTTCTTGGAGTTCTGGCAGGTAAACATTCTAATTCACGCAATAGACACACGTATACGACCATTATCTCACGGTCACACCAACAGTAAATCCAGCTTCCAGCAACATAATCAGTGCTTACCATCACTTGACTGAGGTTCCAGGTAAAGACGGAATCTGGACCAGAGTCAAGAGCAATATTACTTCATCCTTTAGATCACGAGCACGAGCAGACCCTGGTTTTCTCACACGGTGCGAGTGAAAACCGCAGAGACAGCCGCGGGACCGGTGCGTCCGCCGTCCACCGGAGCACTCACCCGAGGCGCAGGAAGCCATTGTCACACGTGTAGGTGGCGACCGTGTTCTCCGTGAGCTGGTCCGAGCTCAGCTTCACCTTGCTGTTGAGGTTGACGGCGGGGTGTGGACAGAGACCTGAAAACACACAGATATTCGTCAGACGCCGTGCGGGGATGTATACCTAGAAAAGTCACAGCAGTGAGCGCTGCAGCATGTCAGAAAACAGTGGCGGATCCAGGGGGGGCAAAATGGGCATTTGCCCCCCCAAACGGCATGATTTTAACATTACGCCTATGGACGATGCATGGAAAGAATCGATAAATTTTTATGGTTTGCCCCCCCCCCAAACCTCTGAGCTGGATCCGCCTCTGTCAGAAAAAAGAGTTGAATTAGCGAAGAATTAAAAGATGAAGTGAGTGAGTTAGTTAACGGGTGAATGAGGGAGTGAGTGAGTGAGTGAGTGAGTGATTAATTGGTTGGTTGAGTAAGTGAGTGAGTGAGAAATAGAGAGGGAAAGAGATAGAGAGAGAGAGAGAGAGAGAGAGAGAGAGAGAGAGAGAGAGAGAGAGAGAGAGAGAGAGAGAGAGAGAGAGAGAGAGAGAGACACAGAGAGAGAGAGAGAGAGAGAGAGAGAGAGAGAGAGAGAGAGAGAGAGAGAGAGAGAGAGAGAGAGAGAGAGAGTCAGAAACACACAGACGAGAAAGATCGCCCACTGGCCTTTACGATGACAGTGGAGCCGACTGAGTCGATTCGGTTCTCTGTGTCTCTAAGCCGATTCCCTAGGAATCGAGCCTATTTTTGATTATCATTAATTGTGTCGTCTGCCAATCCCTCACCAAATACTGGCCTAGGGAGGTCAGTGACACCCCGACCTTGTTCGAAGCCTGCGGCGACCTCCTCTCCTTTCCCTGGCCGTGTGCCAAACCTGAGAACATCTGTCGCCGGTGTGAGCCGTGTGTTCGAACCGGGAGATTACCAGTTACCACTGGCTGCGGACGGCGGACAAGATGCTGTTCAGCTGTGCCGCAGTAGCTGGCTTTGTGGGATCTTACAGAAACACTGTCCACAGTCACAGGTACTGTGGTAGCTTTTTTGCGGTGAGATCTTTGAACTGACTCCGCCCAGTGCCCTCGGTCTCAAACACTGCTCTGGGTGCAGGGCAGGAGCCAATGTGTTCTACCTATCAGAAATAGCCGTCACGTGTTGCACGTCCAGACACGTGTTGAAATGTAGGTATTGCCATATGTCTTCTGTTCTAACAAGCTGTATCACGTGCTGTACCATCGGATACACGTGTAACGAGACAGATAAAACAGACGAAACTACAACTGTAAGACAATTTTTTTCTCTCTTGTAGTCGGTGATATTGGCCGGTGGTTCCGGTGAAAGGTGAATCACCTGTGTAATTAAAATTAAAAAATACCTACACCCTGTTCTATGCATGTTGTCGTGCGGCATCCTTTAGATATATCCTTTTGTCTTCGCGTCCTTTGTCCTACCTCAACAGCCACATTCGTGGGGACCGACTTACTGGATCAATACCAGAGTCGGGTCAAGCCGGCGCCAGCCCCCTCACAAAAAGGATCACGTGCTCCAAAACAACTTCCGTCCAACCAATAGCGTTGCAGCCCTTGTTTTCTCTCGTCCAATCGTTGCTTTCCGCGTAGCGGCCACCACCCAAAGAAGAGTCGGCCAACGCCCAAGTTTCTGTCATATATAAACCTGTGTTCGCTTTGTTCAATACATTCTGTTCCCGAACTCCACGTCTTTATGTCGGGTAAGTCTGAGTTTAGTCCTTCACTTTAACCCCCGACATTTTGGTGGCAGCGGTGGGATACGAACCCACGCCTCCGAAGAGGCGCCGTCACTGCGGCGTTCTCCATACCGGACCCTTTGCTGCGTCACAGCCTCCCACCTAGCCGGCCGGCCAATCGGCTCTGCAATCTCCCCGCCCGCACCGGAATACGGTCAGAGCGAGGCCGGTCTGTAAAACTGGTCCGCCCTCCGTCCTCCGCTCGCAGACCGGGGCTGGGCTGGGGAGAAGACCCCTCCCCTCCGCCCGCAGAGCTAGGCTGGGCGTGGGCACGGAGGGCACCCCCTCCGCTCACAGAGCTGGATTGGGTTCGGGGACTTTGAGCCGCCGCCCGAGCGGAGTCCAATACAGCGAGAGAAAACAGGACGGTTTTGGTGAGACGGACAGCAGCTCTGCATGAGCTGCTGTCCACAAATATTTTGAGCCGAGAGGGCACCTCAGCGGGCAATCGCACCGAGAGTCCCTACCTTGCCGGGCAATTTGTTTGAACAAGTAATTGAACACAAACTTGTTTTTTCATTTATCAACTGATTCTAGCAATATGTGGTCTCATGATTAAATGCATGGATAATCCATGCATTTAATCATGAGACCAAAGTCAAACATCTTTTAAAATTAATCATGTCAGCCCTTTTTACTGCAGACACTCGCATCCATTCCGTTAGAACGCAGCAGTGCCCGTTCTCACCGCACTGCCCGCGGTCGCAGATGCTCTTTGCCTCAAAGTCGTTGCGTTGACCAGCAATTTCAGCAAAAAGAAAGCCCTGTGACCGCTCGGCGGCAGCGGGCCGGACCTCAGCCGCAGACGGCGCTCCGCGGGCCCGCACACGGTCACAGACGGCGTGAAGCTGTACTTTCTTATAGCATCCACTGGCTGAGCGGGAGCCCCCCCCCCCCCGGGACCGGCGGGATATGCGGACTGCAGAGGGGAAGTGCGGATCGGACTGCGGCGGGATATGTGGACCGGTGGGCCTGCCGTCTGCGTTGGAAGGTGGCTGTAGAGTCGGTTCGCGTGACTAAGCCTGCGCGATGTTCAGCGCTGGGTGAGCGCTGGGTTCCGAGTTGTAAGGCAGGAGCCAGATGAGTGCAAATAAGCATGAGGTAACGCCACGGAGAGACAGCCAGCCTGTCTGTCGCTGAGACAGCCCGCCTCCTGCCTCGTTGTCTCAGAGGTTAGACCTTGTTGGCATCGAAAAGATATTAACAATGACGGTTGCGGTCAGATGTGCACCTGATCGCGAAAATCGGTGACACATAAACACCATTGCCTGGGAAAGATGTGGAACTGCAGACTTCGCCGGCCACACCGCAGCGACCGGCACACGTCAGCCGTGAACGACATGTAAAGTAAGAGCACCGCTGTCCGCACGGGAAACCGTGGAATATTCGGACCGATGAGCGATTATGAGCGTTCGAGCACGACCATTCCACACCGGTGAGCAGCCAGAATGGACATTGGCCACGGCCCAGTGGACGGGCCGATTTCGCTGCAGCAGACTGTTGGGTCAGGATTCAGACGGGGCGTGACGAATGGTAACACGCTTACTTGAAAAAAAAAATCACATGATGTCTGTACTCAATACTGTCCACCGGGTGAACAACAGCTTACTTTGACTTTAGTTTCTGTATTAATTTCACTGCATTTTCAATGGACGGTGACAAACATACTTATCAGAGAGCGATTTTAAATGTCGACATTCTGGGACTGACTGGGACCCTTTGGCATTGTAAGCAGTGCATAAGGAAGAGGCTCGATTTAAATAGAAAAGACACGTCTGTTATCGATGTAGAGCACACTGTATGCATGATTCAGTTTATGCACGACAGCCGGGCACGGACCTGTGCTCGGGTCATATACGGTGTCGCCGCCGAGCTGGTCGCTCCTGTCGGTACCGGCAGGTCCGATCGCCGGCCGGCTGACCTACCAGTTACCACCCTCTCTGACGTCACCGGCCCAGTCAGCTGAGCTGTCGTCAGCTGACCTACCGCTCGAGGCGGTCCAGCCAGCCGGTCACTGCGTAGCGGACGGTGTCGGTGACGGTGTGACAGAGAGGCGTCCACACACAGAGCCGCCGCGCTGTTCGAGCGAACAGCGCTACATGATGCCCGCTGACTGATGTGTCAAAATTTGAATTTGAGCCAAAGAAAACTTACCCCGCGTTCGATGTCTCTCCGATAACGAAGATTCTGCGACGTCTGGCCAATCCCGTTCAAGGTCAGCGGGGGCTCGGCTGCGGTTATGGATTATGGAACGTGATTGGCCGGACGACGTAGAATCTTCGTCGTCCGAGAGACATCGAACGCGGGGTTAAAGGGAGATTATGACCTTTTTCCACAAAATCTGAGTTAGGACCATTTTCTGACAAAACACAACAAGTTATAATGTAAATTAAAACCATTTTGCTCAATTCGGTACCTTGCCGCAAATATCTCAACTTGAAGTCACGTTAGCGGGGAGCGCTGAAAATGACCGTTGAATAAGTACTTACATCACTTTTTGGTACTTGCATGTAATTTTGTAAAATGAGCGTATTCATTACATTTGATCTTCATCACATCTAGTTAGTTAATGGTCGTCTATAGTGCCTTCAAAAGATATTCATGGTTTGGGGGTGGTTTATGTCTAAATTTACGCAACTATTTTTCCTGTTCATCATCTGTCGCCATATGCTGCTATTTTAGTAGCAACGACTCAATTTTGAATCGGTCCCGCCGACTGCACAATAAAAGAAGATAGATACAACACTTTTGCGGCATCACTGAAAAACTTATGCAGTACTGTTATCAAAATTCTCATAACACCGTTCGACAAACCTGAAGTCTTTTTGAAATAAATATGCTTGTATTTTTCGCTTCAGGCTCTGAGGCCAAAATAATGAATTTCGTAGTCGCAATCGCAAGATTTGGCTGCGATTCTGGCGCATGCCGTTCATTTGTGGCGCAAAATAATACTTGGAAACAAAGAAGAGTAGGCACTATGTACCCCCGAATTAGAATCTAATTAATTCTAAACCGAATTGACTCTAATTCAAATTAGAATCCTTACAAACAAGCAACGACAAGGCGATAACATAAACAAAAACCCAAGCGTCGCTGTTTGAAACAAAAGCGCCATATACTGCGACTTTTTATAGAGAAGGACAACGCATTTCGGTGGGTGTTACAAGTACTGCAAGTACTGCTTCTTTTTTGCAAAAATAAAAACCTTTTTCACATACGAAAATGTGCTAGGAAATTTTCATATTTTATAGAAACTACAGTAGAAATAGTATAGATGTCGAGTAATTTTTATTTAAGAAAAAAGAAAGCTCATAATCTCCCT